CCAAGAGCTATTCTTCCTCAACAAATGCACCGAGCTCCGGTCACAGCCGCTACCACCTGCGTGGGCGCCTGTCAACTGCTTGGATGGATTCACCTTGCCGACGTCCAACTCATTCACATGGGGCGTGTTTGGTTGCCGTTTGCTACAGTGCCTGCATCGCGTAAACTTCTCAACCCAGCCTAGTTGAGCAAAAATAGGCCCTAATACGCCATATGCAACTTATTTGGTTGCCTGCATCTAGTGTCCCTGCATTAGGTAATACGCAAGTGCACTTTGTTTGGTTGGTTGCATTGGCCCTAGCGGCACATGAACATGGCGTTTGGTTGCATACGGTGTATATGTTGTGCTTACCTTGTACCCTAGTTGGTGAGCTTACCCACAATGATCACACCTAGCACACCAACGCCACAACACAACAATGGTGACAAACTAGGCGAAGATGATGAAGTTCTTCAGCTTCAGCCCAAACTGACGATCCACCTTAGCAGCTTCCACTTTGACAGCTCCAGCCTTGGCACTGTCAACACTGCTACCTCTGTGCTTTCGCTCCCAGGCGGAGTAAGCTTGTTCTACTGCCTGCCTAATCTTGAACCCTCTATAGTTGTTGTTGCTATACGATGCCACTTGTGCATTGGCTTCTTTCCATGAACTATAAACCCCTGGAACCTCACCGATGAACACATCATACCACTTGCCCTAGCAATGCACAAGAGCAAGAGTTGAAGCAGCAAATCAATGGAGCACAAGTAGCAAGCAAAGTAGCACACTAACAACAATGGAGCAGAAGAGAAGTAAAGCATGCATGATCATACGGCATAGCAAGTTCTACCTAGCACTACCTTGGTGTTAACCTACCACCACATCCAAAAGAGGGTGTTGTCCTACCACCGCAAGTTCACCATCAGCATGAGGGGTTAGTATATACCACCTCACCAAAATATACAAATCATCAAATAGTTTTTGAGCCCTAGCTACACAAAATGTACGTCGTCATCGTCATAGTCGTCGTCGTCGCCACCGCCATCACTGTCAGGGATCATGCACGCTCACAGGCAGGACTACTCTAGTAGTAGTGCTTGCCCAGCAAGCTCCTGAGCCACATCACCCTGTGAGCATCGCCCATGGCAACGAACCCAACACCTCGGGCCTTGTTGTCAAGCAGGTGGTTGAGAGCTGCCATGAGAGCCTCAATGCTGAAGCCACCCTGGGTCATGATAGCACCATACAGGTCAGGATGGACGTCGAGGGGCTTGCACTCCCTGATGGCTGTTGCCACATCCTTCACTGCCTCAGTCATGCTGCAAAAGACATTGATCTCCTCCTCCATCAGGCCTCCTCTCTTCCTCTTCCTATCATGGACGGGGTCAAATGGCTTGTCGAAGGGCTTCATAGCGGGCTTGTTAGGGCCATCAAGGACCTCGACGTCCGGTGTCCCAGGGAAGTCTGGCATGGGAGAACCAAGAGGCTCACCCGAGCCCATGGCATGCTTCCCAGTTGTTAGACCGAAGGAGAAGATGTGTTGCATCTGGCTGTAGTTCTGGATGGGTGTGTTTAGGAACTCAGCGTCCCTTGGGGTGTGCTAAGAATGAAACACAAGTGTTCTTAGTTGCGATTAGGAGTAGGCAATGGTGGACAGTATGAAAAGAAAGAGGGTTGTGAGCTAACCGCGACATGGACGGCGTAGTGCTCTGCCTCCAGAACTATGGAGCAAGTGTTCTCATCCCATGAGGCGACGCTAAGGTCTCTCAGCTTGGACACTTGGATCCATCGAATTCTCCACTTCCTCAGGTGGTTGTACACCTGGGTGGCAGACACCTCTTGCCCATGGAACTCGAACACCTGCTTCGCAACAGTGTTCAAGTGCACCTCCTTGAAGCCCTTGTCAGTCCTAACTGCACTAGAGATGAGCTCACACATCTTGTTCAGAACGAACGTGGACATGAACAGCTGCCACTTCATGTTGTTCGACCTACCATCCTTCTTTGCCTTTGCTACTGCTAGCTTGATTGCAGCGGCAGCAGCAGGAGTTGGCTCAATGAGCACTACTGGCACATAGAGGGAATCACACTCGAACACCTCTGAATCAGGTGCCATCTCAGACATGGGCTGCGAGTCCTCGACAAAGGATGGAGCAAACTGGCTGTCGGACACGACAAGGGCCTGACTAAGATCTTGCGTCTGCATGGTCATTTCCTACAATCGTAGCACGCATTGACAGTGAGCATATCACACAACATACCGGACAATCCATAAAAGCAGGAGCATACATGTACATCACTATCATAGCAAGCACATGCTTCATCACTATCATACTAAGCATACCGGACAATCTATGAGCAGGAACATACATCTACAACAAACAATATTCTACAAATGAACCACCAATAGCTACAAATCATAGATCTAAGCATGATTCAACACAAGCACAAGGTTCAACTTCAAACTTTACTACTAATCTAGCCTACCACATGCTTGAACATCTAGCCCTACCACAAATTGCAACTGCAGCATAGCAACCAACCATATTGTCGGTGCCGATGCGCGCCGGCGGGAAAGCTCGAACGGAGAAAGAATGGTGGCGGGAGTTAGGGCGGTGTGGGAGGGGCTAAATTGGGGTGGACTCGGCGGGAGGTGGGCCGAAATCCTCCCACCGATTTTTCGGCGACACGGGCGAGCTCGCGCCATCTCCCCTGCCCGCACGAGGGGAGAAGCACGTCGCCCTCCACTGCCTCGCCCGAGCCAGGCTCGCGAGATACTGCTGATTCGTGCGTTTCCCCTGGGTCTGGCCTGGACGTGCTTTAAGTTTCATGCGATGCGGGCCACACAGTGAACGCAGAAAATCAAACGAGACAAATTCTTCCCGCGCGGGCCAGGCTAGGCCTAATGCAGGCAACCAAACACGCCCATGGCTTGCCGGAGCGTACAAGCCCAACAACCATTGGAGTCCAGTGCCAGTGGGCTGCAGGGTGTCCATGATGCCGGTGCTGGGGTACGAGGGCGCTTCCGGGACGGACTACGGGTGGCTGATGCAGGGCGGGTTTCTTCTGGAGTACATGGTGGGTGACTGCAAGGCGTGCGAGGAGAGTGGAGGGCTTTGCCTGATTAATAAGACCAACGATATCTTCGAGTGGCACTGCACAGACCACGTGTCTCCGTCCAACATCTGCGGTAAGCTTCGCACGTATAATAGTGACAGTGAGTTTGACCTGTGCAACAACGATGCATCGGTTTAGTTCAATTTTGGCAAGATAAGTAAGTTCTTTTCTTTATCTTAAAATAAGTAAGTTCTAGTATAGAGGAGGTTTACAGGAGAAGGGAACATATCATGCGTCTACCTGCTAATTACTACGCTGCGTACTAAAATATAGTACTTCCTCTGTAAGCTAATATAAGAGTGCTTAGATCACTACTTTAGTATTCTAAACGCTTTTATATTAATTTACGGAGGGAGTACAAACTAGCGCGATCAGTACAGTTCTGTACCCTAAGTACTCTTTTGTTTTGGTGCACCCTGGATCATGCTGGTACCGCGGACATTTGCAGAAAAATGTGGACTGAGATGTACCGTTCATTGCAATGTCATTGAACACATCATTATAATTCACAGTTTATGCAATCTCTTATATTGGCTAATTAAATTATATTTTTTGTTAAACCTGTATTTGAGCGACATAGTTGCTAAGTCAAAAGAAAGCCCATGTTCTATTGTTTTTCACTATCTTGCAATGATTTTTTTTTGTAAATTTCATCGGCAGAATATTGGATATTCATATACGATGCTTATCTCTTTCTTTTGGAAAAACATTGTTACTACTCATAATTGTTACATTATATTCCAGGTAGCGAGAAGAGAGGGAAGAAGATTATGGTAATAGGCATGGTAAATGTTTTGCCATCTTTTCATATGTAACAATTTGAATATAAGTAGTTCACTAATAGTGATTCTCTATGATAAAATAGGAACTTAAACATTTATCAAGAATTTATCATGTCTGTAATCACTGAAAATTGATCCTAAAAGAAAAATGTGAAGAGAAGGATGTGACTATACTCAGGCACACTGTACCCCCTTATCCAACCATCTATTTGTTGCTTTTCAATCCATGCGTGAACTTTTCCTTTTTTTTTTGTTTCTCTCAAATGAAACAACATATGAATTTCGAAGTTTGCAGGTCAACGAAATATTAAAACTACAATGTATGGAAAAACTTTGGACTTTTTCGTACATCATATATAGTACAAATAATATTTCTGAAAAAATAATCTGATTTCGTATATTTTTTACGGACCAAAAGAATCTGAAACTTTTTTCACACATTGTAGTTCTGAAATTTTGTTGATCTGCAAAGTCTGAAGTCCATATGTTTTTTCAGTTGAGAGAAATAAAAAAGAGAAAGTTCCATGTAGTAATTTAGTTGAGTAGCACACATCAAAGCAGTATTGGACAGCTCAGTCCATATGTTGTGCGCCTGGGTTTAGAAAAAACAATCTCAAATCTGAAACAAACAATCTAAGTTTGTGATTAATAACAAGACTAGTCAATTTATGGCAATTAGTCTGTTGCTAGTTTTGCCACCATGTACTCTGGTGGACGGAGAAATTTAAACTACTGATGGTCTAGAAATCATAGTGTTAAAACTTCTGTTTTACAAAAGGAAATAGCATCTGCTTCCATCTCAGGTATGACATCAGCAGCTGCAACATTTCTATTGGCATGTCTTTGTGTGCTGATATGGCATAGAAAGGGGAAACAACTATGGTTTCTCCTTTGCAAGAAGACTAGCAGCAACACTGAAAAGAATTGCGAGGCCATGATAGTGTTAGATCACTAGCTCCAACAAGATACACGTACTCAGAGGTAATGAAGATAACTTCTTCTCACAACAATCAGCTTGGGAAAGGTGGTTATGGTGTGGTTTTCAAAGGAAGACAACATGATGGACGTCTGGTGGTCGTGAAATTCTTGCATGACTGCAAAGGAAATGGGGACGAGTTTGTGAATGAGGTTATGAGCATTGGCAGGACCTCTCATGTTAATGTTGTTAGCTTATTTGGGTTTTGCTTGGATGGATCAAAGCGAGCTCTTATATATGAGTACATGCCCAACAGTTTCGTTGGATAAGTACATTTATTCAGAGCACCCCAAAGAAATTTTAGGGTGGGAGAGGCTTTATGCGATAGCAATTGGGATTGCTCGTGGCCTCGAATACTTGCACCATAGTTGTAATACACGCATCGTCCATTTCGATATCAAGCCCCAAAATATCCTTCTAGACAAAGATTTTAACCCAAAGATTGCTGATTTTGGTCTAGCTAAATTGTGTCATACAAAGAAGAGCAAGCTTTCAATGATTGGAGCTAGAGGAACAATTGGATTTATCGCCCGAGAAGTTCACTCTCGAACCTTTGGGGTGGTTTCAACAAAGTCAGATGTTTATAGTTATGGAATGATGCTGCTGGAGATGGTTGGAGGTAGGAGAAACGTAAAATCAATTGTTGCAAAATCCAGTGAAAAGTATTTTCCAGATTGGATTTATGACCACTTTGCACAAGATGAGGGATTACAAGCATGTGATGTTACAAGAGAAATTGAGGAGATCGCGAGAAAGATGATCATAATAGGCTTGTGGTGTATATAAGTGTTACCTATGTATCGACCAACTATAACAATAGTTCTAGAAATGTTTGAGAGAAGGTTAGATGATCTGGACATGCCGCCGAAGCAGAACTTCTGTGAACTACTGTAAGATATTTCTCCCATATCTTTGTTCCTTTGTTTCCCTATGTGATTATTTTGTGCAATAGTAACTTGACTACGCGCTTATCTCTCATTACAGTGAAAGCTCAACTCACAATTTGGATGTACAATGTTCGAGTTCTACCAAACCTGAAGAGATCAGCCTTGCGAATTAAAAAATCCTACAATAATAGCCAACTCTTTGAGCAGATAGAACTTGTGCATCAAAGAACCTACATTCATTTCCAACACTGTGAGAAGGTGGCCTTTACTACTATACATTCAGAAATTGAATCCAACATTGTACTTGTAGTAGAATATATTCCATGTATGCATGAATTAGACTGAAGAGTAGCCGCATGATAGCATCCTAAGTTACGGACCACAGAAGGATACAATTTATTCCGATGAGTTTTGTGTTTCAACTGCTAAAAGGCATCACATGTAGACATCTACCAAAGTCTTCTTGAGTGTAAATTTCCCCCAAATCTCGATACACGCGATTTGGGCTCTAACTACAGCCCCCAAATTTCAATATCTAGATGTATATCCATTTAAACACTGTGACGATATATGTCAATTCATTCTTTTATAGCAAGCAGATTAATCGTTGAAGAGGAGGGCGCATTCTTACTTGGGCCTCTCTGTAGATTGTAAGTGGCGCCATGCTATTCCTTGACACGCGCACAACCTCGCTGGCGACCACCGCCCAACTCAGCGCGCGTATTACTCTCTTCCTCTGCTGGTGAGCCAAGGGTTTGCGACGCTTCTCAGGCAACATCACTTCAGCAGCCCCTAGATCGCCGCCATGGTCCATGGGGTAGACTAGGCTAGCGCTCGATCAGTAATTTCACCCGTCGCGGTGGCAATCCACGTGTCCGGAGACGCCGCGGCAGGAGGCTAGGCTCTTCTCTGCGTGGGTCACGACGACAGACGCACACCATAGCTGCGCCAACAAGGGGACAAGCACGACTGGGATGACACGGGGATTCAATCATGGGCGCATACCGTCGGCTAGAGGCGGCACAGCGCCGATCAACGTCGGATATTTTGGGCCATAGGACTTCTTGAAGACCCAAGTTCCTGCAAGCCCAAACAAACTCATCGAACGAACGAAGAAATTGGGAGTGATTTTGGACAGCGACATGGCAAGTTGCGTACGACCCAGGTAGCAACCATGTAGCACAGTCTGTTTTCGAGGGAAGAGGGTTTCCCCGCTTTATATTATAAAGCAACGACCACGACAATAATAAAAGCAAATGGTAGCAAGGTTCCGTCCAGCAGAGGACAACACACATGCGCACACACACACACAGAGAGGGGGGGGGTATGGGAGACAATAGTCTTGTTGGGGATCAGCACAACAAGGCCCAAAAGCATAAAAACGGAAACTAATCAGGCTCTAGAGGAGGCGACTGAAGAGGCGGTGGAAGCGGTGGCGCGAGGCGAGATGCGAAGGAGGCGGCCGAAGTGGGTCTGGTCCCATCGCTTGCTAAGAGACCTCCAGAACTGTAGAAAGTCACACAGTTTGTAAATGGCGTGAGTCACACATAGCGGGATAATATGTTCAATCACCAGCTTATTATGGACATTCCATAATGTCCATAATAGCGCCCCTACCAACACCCATAAGGAGTGGCGCTTAGTACTAGTAAATGTGAGCACCTTGCCAAACATATCTGGGAGGTTATCATGGCACCAATCGCCGCCCCACCATCTCATGTAGCAACTCCAAAAAAACCTTGTCGAGGGGCACACAAAGAAGATATGGTTTGAGTCGTTAGGGACAAAACAAAGGGGACAAAGCTCGTCGGACGGGCCGTTGCGCTTAAGTACCTTCGTGCCGGAGGGTAAGCGGTCCCTCAATAACTGCCATATGAAGATCCTAATCTTCAAGGGAAGCTTAATCTCCCAAAGGAGATTAAGCTCTGTGGGCCTGGGGTGGGAAGGATGGCCCGATAAAGAGACCTAGCAGAGAATCGGCCAGACGGCCTGTAGATCAATGACCCATGCTACCGTTCCCTTGAATTTTAATGCGTTCCTATAGAAAGCTAAGTTGAAACATGATGGTAGCAACTACATGGACTGGGTCCATAACTTGGGGATTATCCTCATTGCTGCACAGAAGAATTATGTTCTTGATGCATCGCTAGGTGTACAACCCCCCAGCAACTGCAGACATTGTGAATGCCTGGCAGTCGCGTGTTGATGACTACTCGATAGTTCAGTGTGACATGCTTTACAACTTAGAATCGGGACTTCAAAGATGTTTTGAACGTCATGGACCATATGAGATGTTCCAGGAGTTGAAGTTAATATTTCAAGAAAATGCCCGAGTTGAGAGATATGAAGTCTCCAACAAGTTCTATAGCTGCAAGATGGAGGAGAACAGTTCTGTTAGTGAGCACATACATAGAATGTCTGGGTACCATAATCACTTAACTCAGCTGGGAGTTAATCTTCCAAATGATTGTGTCATTGACAGAGTTCTTCAATCACTGCTACCAAGCTACAAAGGCTTCATGATGAACTACAATATGCAAGGGATGGAAAAGACTATTCCTGAGCACTTTGCAATGCTCAAGACTGCTATCAAAAAGGAGCATCAAGTGTTGATGGTTAACAAAACCACTTGTTTCAAGAAGAAGGGCAAGGGAAAGAAGGGAAACTTTAAGAAGAATGGCAAGAAAGTTGTCACTCCTGGGAAGAAACCAAAGCTAGACCCAATCTTGAAACTGAGTGCTTCTACTGCAAAGGGACTGGTCACTGGAAGCGGAACTGCTCCAAGTATTTGGCAGATAAGAAGGATGGCAAAGTGAACAAAGGTATATTTGACATACATGTTATTGATGTGTACCTTACTAATTCTCGTAGTAGTGCCTCGGTATTTGATACTGGTTCGGTTGCTCATATTTGTAAATCGAAACAGGGACTACAGATTAAACGAAGATTGGCTAAGGATGAGGTGACGATGCGCGTCGGGAATGGTTCCAAGGTCGATGTAATCATCGTCGGCACGCTACCTCTACATCTACCTTTAGGATTAGTTTTAGACCTGAATAATTGTTATTTGGTGCCAGCGTTGAGCATGAACATTATATCTGGATCTTTTTTAGTGCGAGACGGATATTCATTCAAATCAAAGAACAATGGTTGTTCTATTTATATGAGTAATATCTTTTATGGTCATGCACCCTTGAAGAGTGGTCTATTTCTGTTGAATCTCAATCGTGGTGATACACATATTCATAACATAGATGCCAAAAGATGCAAAGTTGATAATGATAGTGCAACTTATGGAAACTCCATGCAGATGGACTTTTGGAATCACTTGATTATGAATCATTTGATACTTGGAAACCGTGCCTTATGGGAAAGATGACTAAAACTCCGTTCTCCGGAACAATGGAACGAGCTAATGACTTATTGGAAATAATACATACCGATAAGTGTTGAAGCTTGTGGCGGGTATTGTTATTTTTTGACCTTCACAGATGATTTGAGCAGATATGGGTATATCTACTTAATGAAACACAAGTCTGAAACATTTGAAAAGTTCAAAGAATTTCAGAGTGAAGTGGAGACTCATCGTAAAAAGGAAATAAAGTTTCTACAATCTGACCGTGGAGGTGAATATTTGAGTTACGAGTTTGACCTTCATTTAAAATAGTGTGGAATAGTTTCACAACTCACACCATCTAGAACACAACAGCGTAATGGTGTGTCCGAACGTTGTAGCCTTACTTTATTAGATATGGTGCGATCTATGATGTCTCCTACCGATTTACCACTATTGTTTTGTGGTTATGCATTACAGACAGCTGCATTCACGTTAAACAAGGCACCGTGAAAATCCGTTGAGACGACACCATATGAACTATGGTTTGGCAATAAACCTAAGTTGTTGTTTCTTAAAGTTTGGGGATGTGATGCTTATGTCAAAAGGCTTCATCCTGATAAGCTCGAACCAAAATCGGAGAAGTGCGTCTTCATAGGATACCCTAAGGAAACAATTGGGTACACCTTCTACCATAGATCCGAAGGCAAGATCTTCGTTTCCAAGAATGGAACCTTTCTAGAGAAGGAGTTTCTCTCAAAAGAAGTGAGTGGGAGGAAAGTAGAACTTGATGAGGTAATTGTACCTTCTCTCAATTTGGAAAGTAGCTCATCCGAGAAATCCGTTCCCGTGATGCCTACACCAACTGGAGAGGAAGCTAATGATAATTATCATGAAACTTCAGATCAAGTTGCTACAGAACCTCATAGGTCAACCAGAGCATGATCCGCACCAGAGTGGTACGGTAATCCTATTCTGGAAGTCATGTTATGTGACCATGATGAACCTACGAACTAGAAGAAGCTACGATGAGCCCAGATTCCATTAAATGGCTTGAGGCCATGAAATCTGAGATAGGATCCATGTATGAGAACAAAGTGTGGACTTTGGTGCATTTGCCCGATGATCGGCGACCCATGGAGAATAAATGGATATTCAAGAAGAAGACTGACGCTGATGGTAATGTTACTGTCTATAAAGCTCGACTTGTCGCAAAAGGTTTTCAACGATTTCAAGGAGTTGACTACGATGAGACTTTCTCACCTGTAGCGATGCTTAAGTCTGTCCGAATCTTGTTAGCAATTGCCGTATTTTATGATTATGAAATCTGGCAAATGGATGTCAAAACTGCATTCCTTAATGGATTTCTTACAGAAGAGTTGTATATGATGCAACTAGAAGGTTTTGTCGATCCTAAAGGTGCTAACAAAGTGTGGAAGCTCCAGCGATCCATTTATGGACTGGTGCAAGCTTCTCGGAGTTGGAATATACGCTTTGATGAGGTGATCAAAACATATGATTTTATACAGACTTTTGGAGAATCCTGTATTTACAAGAAAGTGAGT